TACAATTGTAAAGAGGGTGATTCCAGTTTGGTATGAGTGTGTGTTTGAGAGCTGGACTGTACTTCTGCCTGCTGAGCCACAGATGGCAGCCCTCCACCCCGAACCCCACAAGCTCACTGGATCGTGCAGCGTCAGAATGTGTGGCGTCAGGCTTTGTTTGCTCGTCATCCAGGGAGTGCTGTTTTTGTAGATGCTGCAGAACACACCGGCACGTCTAGTCGAGTGCTTGCAGTTGCTTGCTAGTCTTGAGGTCAACTTCCCCTTCTCTTTCTACCATGCGTCTACACAAACCGTAGAACGAGGTGCTGGTCAGCTGCACCGGAGCTTTTCTTTACTTCCTACAGATTAACACAGTCACATGCAGCTTTGCAAGTTTTCCTTTCATCAAATATGTCTCTGCTTCCTATATCTAGCATCAGGTGGTACCAAATTAATTGTAGTTTACTGTGCTTGGACTGGAGCTGCTGGGACACACCTTTTGAACAAAATCACCTTTGCTTTTTGAGCCAGTAGCTCACCCCAGATGTCTCTTTTTTAATCTACAGTGTTTTTCAGTTAGATACTGAAATCACGTCCACAACTAATCATAGAAGTTGCGAAAAGTGAAATAAGGATTTAAGAGAGACCAAAACTGATCTGAGTATTCTTTTTGCACCTTTTAAAATCTTAACTAAAACACCAAGAAAGTGTAATTTCAGCCTGTTATTGATTAGCTCATTAACAATAATTGGTTTAAGGAGCTCATGTGACCTTCCACCAGCCATGCTTGGCAGTTTAACCACAGAAAACGTCAAGAAGAGATGAGGAGTTCTCTAAATGCTTTGCTCTGCTCTTTTGCTAATGGGAGTGTAAAGAATGGGTGTCATTTGCCAGTCTGGGTGTCAGAGCAGAGCTCAACATTAGTGCAACCGTAGTTTTTTTTTTGTTTTTTGCACAGTAATTATTACTTGCATTTGCTGGCAAATTCTGTACTGTGCACATAAATGAGTGCAGCAACACTTATGTGCACAAATGGAGCCAAGCCTGTGAAAAAAGTCGATTTTGATTTAAAAATGCAATAAATTAATATGCCTTAATCTAACACTATTAATGTGCAGCTTCGAAGTTAAAACAACGTGTCCCTCTCTAAAGGCTTTCCAGCTTTAACACAATAATATGCTGAGTAGATGGCACACTTTAACATTGTAAAGGTCAAGTAATTAATAATTTTACTCCACTGCCAGATAACTAATGGTAAGTTAGCCGTGGTTTTAGATTGAAATACCAGTACACTTAAATAAAAGGTTTAGCGTATTGACAAAAAGAAGAAAGTGTTAATCAGCCATGTGCTCAGTTCAAGTGTTAAGTACTCCAACGGGGCAGGCGGTGACATTTTATAGAGTAATTATCAGCTGGTGGCCACTGTGTAAATTCTGGCCCGTTGGGCATGAAGGTTATGAAAACAAATGTTCCGTGGGATTTCATTTTTTTGCTGGTGTTTATTGTTTTAAAGCAATCCAAATCAACAAAGTGGATAAACTTAATAATTTTTGTAATCTTTCAACTTACCAACGAGTGAGGATTGAACAGAGTCTGCCTGAGACTCGGTCTGGTGCTTTATTTATAATGAACCTCACGTTTCGTGGTTTATTGCACCGTTTCGTCTTTGAATGGCTCATAAATAAAAATAAATACGTGACTGTCGATCAGTATTTTATTAATAGGTTGCTGCATGTACGATTTCAACGTGTGTATTTTCCATGTCAAACACAAATATCGCTTTGTCAGTGACTTTCCATTTATTTATTTTATTTGTTCATTTCAGATTCTCCTAAGTAAAAGAGCATGTCGCGACAACGCACATCGTATGTAGATAAATAAAAGCAGTAAAAGGTTTGGAGATTTTGAAAGTCTTAAACAAATCTGCTCGCTGCTACTCCACATAAAAACTTTATCTCTGCTACTTAACAGCAAATGCTGTGTATAAACTAGGAATACACGAATCCACTTTTTTCACTTCCGATACCGATATCTGAGGCTTTGAATCAGATCGATACCAATCAGGTATCAATCTGATACAGAAAAACAGCGCTGAATTAACTTGAACATTTTTTTTTAACACAGTCCTGAATGTACTGAATACACATTTATTGAACACTCTGCACCAGTACAGCACACCAGTAGCTTCACAAGCCTGGGCAAACATGTAAAAACAACACAACTTCAATTTGTTCAGTCAGTGCGGTTATGAGTGTAACATCCAATGTAAAATAAATAATACTAAAGATACTGAAACTGACAAAACAATGGGTTGACAACTTTGGTTAAATATGGAAAAAATTAACTTCGACAAACGTTTCAAATGGTTCAGGAATTCTAAATATAATGTACAATAAATAATAAAGGATCTGAAATAAGAGGAAAAAACAACAGCTTCACTAGCTTGTTTGGCAGATATTTAAAATAAACATCAATCGGCTCCTGTCTTTATGGATCGATCATATTGTCACAAATACCCAAGCAATTAATTTTTTCGATACCGATACTAATATCGGATCAGTGCATCTCTAGTATAAACCTCTTAACACTGAAATACAAATGTTTGAATAATGGGAGAAATTATTTTTTTAAATGTTGCACACTAAACATGGTATCAGGCTTTACAGATATGATGCTTAATTACAAGCGTTGTTGTTGTTGTTGTTGTTAGTTTTCTGCAACATTTGCCGTCAAGCTGCTGAGTTTCAGGTATTTAATAAAAACTGTTTTGCTAGTTGAAAATCGCAACTGGTAGAGCTGCTGCCTCTCAACGAGAAGGTCGCTGGTTCAAAACCTGGTCCAGGGGCCTTTCTGGGTGGAGTTTGCGAGCTAGCTTTAAAATGTTTTCTATAAACTCATTTGACAAACATTCATCCATCCTTTATGTTTCTTGATCAGCCAGAGTTTGCTCGTGGCTCGACTCTCTCGATGCAAGGCTGAACGTTTTCCCACAGGCGTATGCACCAAGTGTTGTGTGACTGGTCAGAAGTTTGTGGGCGTGTTTGTCGGTGCAGAAATGCGCTCTGCCATTCGTCTGAACGACTCTTTCTGAACACACTAAATTAGTGAAATGGTCAAAACCTCCTGGATGGGGATCGTGCAGACATTGTGCACGGAGGGGTCTGTCTGCTGAAAAGTGTGGTGCTTTCTTCACGACAGATTTGTAGCCAAACGGCTCGTGCAGGGACGAAGTGGAGACTGGTGGGTAGAAACCAGTGCAGTGACATATATTACAGAAGGAGGGGTTTCCCTGGAGCTCCTCATCTGTGTCTCATGGACTATGAAAGGTGTGTGTGAGAACTTGATATTCGCAACCACGTGACTGCGCAATGACCGTTCGGCTTCGGATGGAGTATGCAGGGCCCTTTAATCGTCTACAGGAAGGTGTGTCGGAGCACAGTTGGGGAGAAAGGACTGATATTTGCCTAATCAAATCCTCAGGGAAGGCAACCCTCCTTGATCCACTCTCAGATTTACTGCATCTCTTATTGTGTAGTCATTTGTCACTTGTGCGGTCTCCTGCCTCTTCCTGCAGGTGTGTGTGCTGGCAGAGGGAGGTAAACCTGCAGACGATATGCTGAGTGTGGCCCCTGCTGCTCTCCATCCGTCCTGCTCCTTCTTGATTTCCCTCTGTAGTTTCTTGGTTTGCTGCTGCGGTCAGACTGGCACAGACCGGCGTTGTTGTGAGCAGAAGAGCTGGTGTCTTTATGTGTGTGTGTTACTGTTTTGTTGCTGGGCTTATTGGCTAGAAAGCCGGGGTCAGTCGGGGCTTGCCCCTTTGTTTACACACTGAGCAACACACGAAGCAGCCAGAGGCTCACCTGCTCTTAACAAGGCTCACGACCACCTGTAAAGCATTGTTTTTTGACCGTTAGTACTGCACAACCTGTGGGTCAACCACGAAAAACACAATTTCATCATAGTCTGTTGTAAAAGGTCCAACTATCACAACATTTTGACATGGGCATCAGATTAGCTGCTACGTTACAGTCAGGTCCTGTGGACTGATTCTTCTTGTTGAAACATTTAGTTTTTTTATCCAAAGTTCTTCTTCAGTCTGAGGAGCTGCAACAAACTCAGTCTTATAAATAGCACCTTCTCATAGTGGATCAACCAGTTTGCTGCTGACAGCCTAAACTATTTGTTCACACGCAAAAGGTCAGGTGTCTCTTGTAAACGATTCCCCGAGACTCATTGTAATTAACCTGTATAAATAAAAATTGAATGGAAAAAAAAAAAAAAAAGAGGACCATCAGCCTAACAATTGGTCGTTAGTGCTCTGATGGCCACTTGCTATTCACAGGGGGCTGAGTGATACTAGCAATAACAACATTGTAAGAGGGGAACAGTTGATCCTCCACCCCTGTTTAATGATGGACGGGTTATTTTCACAAAGATGGCCTCCTTTACTCCTCTCAAACCATCGTTCCTCTCTGTCCAGGATGTGAACATCTTCATCCCTGAAAGAGTGACCGCTGGCCTGGAGATGAGTGTAGACCTCAGACCTGATGATGTTGATCTTCTGTGCTGGTCCATCCTTTTGGCCAGTGGCTGTTTAGTTTCCCCGAAGCAAGACTGATCACCCTCCTGACCCTGAACAGCATACACAATATTACTCTGTTTGTGCCTGGGGACTGGATCTTTGGGAATTAGCTGCTTGTATTTTTCCCTCTGTATCTATTTCTAGCTTCATGCTCCCGTCCTAGTCTTTGTCACATTGAAGCAGAATATCATGATGATATATTCTATCCTTTGACAACAGTTTCAAAGACCTCTGCCGTAGCCACCTCGTACTGTTCTTCTTCTGTGAGCAGGAACATGAGCCCTACAGTCTGATCTGCTTATTGTCTGGATGCTGCCGTCACTCCTCTCCCTACCCTGTTTTCCATTTGTGTTATTCATTGTGTGGCATTGCAACATTAATGTATATTTAAGTACAGATGATCTGTACATTTCTCACACTTTCCTTTTTTCTCCTGCAGTGAGCACCTGTCCTGCGCCTTCACCTTTTTCTTACACGGTGATAGTAATGTATGCACCAGTGTGGAGATCAACCAGCACCAGCCCATCTACCATCTAACAGAGGAGCACCTCGCTCTGGCCCAGCAGGCGTCCAGCCCATTTCAAGGTGCGTCTCCACTTCATGTTCAACAGCAGCAGTGTAACTTGTGGTGTTTGGTTTAGGACTGAACATTGTCTGAAAGTGATCAGCAGATAAACAAGTGATTAACGTCACTCTTTGTGCCACTTTTATTTAATCTTCATGTGAAATGTCCGACAGTTAATTGATGCTTCATTGTCTCTAAAATCAAACTCTTATTGCTGGTAGTCATGTATGAATTATTGTATGTAGCAGATGACAGAGGCCTCCTTGTGGTGTATTTGACACATCATGACGTTGTTGGAATTTCCCACTTCACCAGTGGAGGGCACGGCTAACCACAAAGTTAGCTTCGCTAACCGCTAATTGCTAACTAAAAAAAAATTAGCTTTGATAATGCTAAACTGCTAAAAAGGATAAAAATAAATAAAATATGTAGAAACTAATGCTAAGGCACTAACTGTTATTATACGCTGCTGTCACAGACACTGTAAGACTGTGTGTAATGTGAGAACATTGTAAGTGAACTCAAAACGGTTCATAAATCACAAGTAAAGCGTTCATGTGCCGTTCAGAGGTGAACTTTCAGGAATTAATCCGGTCCATCAGAACCAAAGAGATGGATTAGAACTCTGCTTCAGCACAGCAGAGTTCTAATCCACTGACTAAACAAATTGTTATTCCACTATTGTCAGAACTGCGCCCACCACTGCACTTCACTACAGAACCAAGCAAAGCTTTACTCAAATCTGACAAACCATGCTCTCCACTGGAAACTACAATTGCATGTTGTTTTTGTTTGTTTGTTTGTGCAGTTCCATGCACTGACACTGGCAGGAACATAGTTACAGACAGGCCACTAAATGAGTTGCTTTTGTTTTAGCGTTTTATTTATGGCCTGCTGTTGTCATCTACTTGTGATGTGGTAGAGCAGTGGTTAAAGTTGTCGCTTTACAGAAAGGGCATCGACCTGGTGTGGCCTGTGTGTGTGGAGATTGCGTGTTGTCTCCTTGTCATATGACGGTTTTCTCTGAATACTCCAGTTACAGACCAAAAACATGCATCTTCTGTTAATTAGTAACTTAATTATCATTAAGTATGAGTGACTGTCGGTCTCTATTCATCCGGTGGTGGACTTGAACCTGCTCAGGATGTCCTCTGCATCTCGTACGGTAACTGCTGCAGGTAGCATCAGCTCCCCCGCATGGAAAAGTGGGTAAAGAAAATGAATATTTTCATCATAATATTTACATCTTATTCTTTTATCATTTAATCTTTGCCACATCAGTCTTACAAATGTAGAAAAACAGTAAAAAAAACCAACATCCTACTTCATGTGATTGTTTTTAAATTTATGTATTTATTTTTAATATTACTGCTGTTTTATATTTAACAATTTTGGCGAAAACATGCTGTTAGCAATCATCTTAAAAATATTTTTGGATGGAAATCATCTCAAGACCCCACACTTGCTGTTTCACAACCCACAGTGTGGTTCCCACCCCATCCTTGGGAACCATATTTCTAGCAAATAGGGAAAACATCCACTCGTATTCTTATTTATTTATTCATTTATTTTTAAAATTTCAACTAATACAGACTTTTTGTAAGAGTTTTTTGTTGTTGTTGTTGTTTTCAATGAAAAATATTAGCAATCTGCACAAGCTGTGTTGCTGCTGTTGCCAAGAGAATGGACGTATGATCTTCTGTCAGGCCGTCTTTCATTACAGGATGGCCAGCAGCCAGTTTGAAGAAGAGGAAAAAATCTTGCGGCCAGCTCGAGCCAAACTCTGTGCAACTCAGAACTATCGGCTGCTTGAATTTCCACACACACGGCCTAATTTAACCACTCTGATATGTTCCGTGTTACCTGGAAGAGAAAAGACGTGTTTGACTTGTAATGCTGCCATGCTCTTGATGACGTGCCCAGAGGTTCAAAACGTCTTATCTGCTCGGCCATTTTGTTTGTAATCAGGAGTTTTGTCAACATAACTACAGGGTCGGAAGGTGCTCTGCTTGAAGTTTCATATTATCAGTGGAAATTCTTTGTTTTTAATGAGTTGTTGATTTAACACATCACATATGCATCAGTGTAAAAACAAAAAAGAGTCAAAATAAAGTACTACACAATCAAAGCTGAGGAGACTACCTGCCCTTTCTGGTTCTTGAAACATCCGTCCGTCCATTATCTTTACACACTTGGTCCTTTTTGAGTTGCAGAGGTCGTTGGTGCTCATATCCACCAATCACTGTGCGAGAGGCCTGGACAGGTCTCCAGTCCATCACAGGGACACATGGGGACAAATGAGACAAACAACCATTCGCTCTCTCACTCACACCTAGAGACAATTCAGAGTTACCAATCAGCCTAACATGCATGTTTTTGGTCTGTGGGAGGAAACTGGAGTACACGGAGAAAACCCACGCATGCACGGAGAGAACATGCCAACTCCACCCAGAAAGGGTGAACAGGTGACCTGCTCGCTGAGAGGCAGCAGCTCTACCAACTGCGCCACCGTGCCGCCCGTTCTTAAAACAACAAATGTTTAATCTTAAAGGAGCCCCAGCCCAGATTGCTTCTAAGGCTTTTCTTTTGTGGCATTTAAAAGACTCATTGTGTCTTTCTGTTCAGTGCCCTGAGATGACCTCTGTTGTGACTTGGTGCTATATAAATAACTGAATTAATTTAATTATCTTTACTCGCATGAAAACAATGCACCCGGAGAAGTTCAGTAAAACCGATGAAATGTGTTTTGCCAACAACTTAAACTCACGAGCATCAAATGTCACAAAGACGACACTGAAGACTTGAACAAAAACGCTCGCCAACAAATGGAGGTCAGAAAGGTCGGAAGGTGATGGTGTTTTTGCAACAGCTGAGAGTGTTTGATGTATGAAGCTCCACCTTCTGTCTCCAGCCATCCACAGTAAATTGTTATTGGGAGCAGATGGGAGCCGATGCTTTGGCTAAGAACACATCACACAGGTTATTGTCAGGGAGCATGGAACAGATAAATACCTCTTCAAATTATTATTTAAATTATGTTTAGTTTGCATTCTGTTATGATTTAAGAACTGAATGGCTGAAAATGCTGTGACTCCTCTAAATATTCAAGCTTCTTTATTTGTCACGACACTGTCTACACTGGGTCCCAGTTACATCCAACAAAAGTATAAAATGTAAAAGAAAGACAGTAATAAGATCTAAGATATGAGCTAAGAACAATGTTAACTAAAATACTATAAATATCTAAGAAAAGCTGAGGATTCTGTTAGAAACTGTCTTTTAGTGTTAAGATGCTTTGTGTTAACGTAGCGCTGTCGGTCACTGGCACTGTACATAGAAACAAAAATGATAACGGGCGCATTATGTTGTCTCAACCTGTGAGCAAATTCTCTTTATTATTAAACGTGGCAACAGGTGAAATGTATAGGCCTGTCATGATAACAAATTTTGCTGGGTGATTAATTGTCTCAGAAATGATTGCGATAAACGATAATGTTTGAAATAATTAGTGATTATTGTCAAACGAAGGATTTTTTTCCCGAGGTCTTCCTGTTAACTTAGCTCGTAGCTTAGCTGCTTTTAATAATCCAAAAATACAATTTTGGACAATTAGAATGGGTTTTAAAGAGAAAGGGCGGGGTCAGTGAAGAGCACCAGAGTTGAGCTTTTTGTCCAGTGTCTTCAGAAAGAGAGAGACACGAACAAACGATAAAGCCGATAAATGAAAATGAGGTCGATAATTTTCATCATGCGATTAATGTATTTATTGTTTATGCAACAGGCCTAGAAATGTACGCTTTATTTTACCTCAAAAAGCAAAACTCAGATCTGGGAATAAACTTACGTTCAACTTTCTTCTGATTGCAAGTTGGAAAACCAGTAGGATTTGCTAATTGTTTTGCACAGGAACAATACTTACCAGCGCTGTGATATTTAAAATAAAATGTAGGAGTGTGCAGTATTATTTAGATCACCATATCAGCTGTGGATAAACCTACAATTCCCCCCACGTTCTCTTCTGGTATCATTATCATTTAATTCTGGTGTGAGCATCAAGTCCAGGGAGGGTTCGCTGGATTCACCAAACATTATGGTGGGAGAGTGATTTTCTAACAGAGAACTCAGAAAATCTGAATTTTGAGTAAAATGGACCATGTTTCAAATCTTTACTACTAACCAATCAAACTTAGCATTAATGAAATATTAATAAATTTAAACATGAATGCACTATTTATAGTTTAGAGCCTATCAGACCTGGTAATTCTGAATATGAATGGGTTTTGTTTACATGTCAGCAGTACAAACTCAGATTAATGGTGCACAAAATAAACTTCAATCTCTAATCTTGGCTTGGAAGTGTTTTTTTTTACACAACTACATTTTTTATTATGTGCATATAATTTAATAATTTCATGTTTCAAGCTTAGGAGACGCCATCTGCCTCTATATCCCTCCACCCCCTGTAGTAACGGTGATCACCTTCTGCGTTCACAACAATAATTCCTGCTGCCAACCCCTTCACTGTCTCTGGAGTCCAGTGAAAGACGATGCTTTGGACGAAAATAAGATAATTATTGTAGCTTGACATATGGATTTTTACGAGAACATCATTGGATTTTGTCAGTGATTTAGGTAATCATCGCGCTCCTCCAACATCGGTTAATAAATGGTAATTGTTTTACTAGTCACACACACACATCGTTTTTCATATTGTCAAACAGAGGTGGCTTTATTTTATGTTTTATTCTTTTTACTCATCCGAACATTGAGTTATTGCAATAGTTAAATGCTTTATTTGATTAACAAATTAAGCATTCATGACATTTTCAGGGACTGACCCGGATGAACTCCACCCGGGCGTCTATAATATTCATGTTTTATGATCAGCATGCTCTGAGTGTGGCGTGCGTCTGTGGGCAGGTGAGGGTTTCCTCTGCCGCACTGCGTCTCCTCCTGGCTGACCAAGCGTAGCGTTGAGGAAGGGCTGACATCCACTACTTTTTATCCATCAACACCCCCTCAACCCCATCCCCGTACTCCTGCTTGCCTCTGCCAAGCTTGGTTTACTGTGCGGCAGAGCGCTCCGGCACGCAGATCTCTCCAGGATGTGACCTCATAAAAGAGCACAGAGTGAATGTAATGAACTCTCAGCCCATTACACTGATATGAGCACATTTGACACGTCTTCAGGGAGCCAGCCATAGACGCTCGGCCAGAGGAGGACTGAAGGGAGGGTCCAGGAGAAGGAAACGGTTCCAAAGTATCGTTTGGGTTTTTCAAAAACAAGAATCAGGTTTTAAGTGCAGGAACTAAAGGAGAAAAGCATCGTGTTAAATTTTAAACTGTTAAAATGATCACCTACAGCTTTATCTTATTGTACACAGGATGAGGAACCTCTCTGCTGAGACGGGACAGTTCATAGATCCACGGCGCTGTGGAGCAGTCCCAACTCAGTGTCACATAATGTGTTCTATCGCTGTTTCAAAGCAAACTTTTTACTTTTTTTACATCTTGAACACCGTTCCTCTGACAGTAAAATGTTGTATTTCCCAAAAATTAGACTTTCATTAGTAAAACTCGGCAGTGCTCCCACTCTTCTGGTGTCATTTTCTTCCACAGCTTCTCCTCCGACCACAGCCTTTAAATATCCATAAAGTCCGACCTCTCAATCAAAATCAAATGTCCAAGCAGAACCTGTCCGCATCTTATTGGTCAAAGTTGGAGTTGTCAAGATTTCACTCCTGGTTCACTTGGCTACGAGCGGGGTTACCATGGTAACAGCATATGTTTTTAAGTATCGCTGTGCCTCTGGAGTATCTACTTTTATCAGGAACACAACAGAAGAGCAGCTGGTGCTTTTTTCCCAACAGCAAAGCAAGTACAAGTAGTCTGGATAATAATTAAAGATTGTAACTAGTGTATTGTAGTTTTATGCTACACATTGTCTGACTGGTTTTCCTCATGGAAACGCGACATGACAGTGCAAGAGTTGCTCGTGTTTTACTTAGAAAGTGAAAGCGTGAAGCATTTTGCTCTCGTCTTTCACGAACAATAAAGTAACTGACACCAATCATGGCAATAGGACTACCCACCTAACACTGAGGAGCTTCCTTTTTATCGTGCGCCCGTCGAAAGACTGCCAAATTATGGTATAGTCTCCATACCTGCGTACATAAACTTTCTCTTTCCTGGGCCAGAACTTCTGCTCCACTCAAGATAATTTAACAAAACTTGATACACATTTGTACTACTATAGAGAGTAAATTGTGTACACTTTTCATCACCCCAGCTTTACATATCAAGGTCAAAGGTCATACAAGCGCTTTGCTTGTCAGGGCCTTTGCTATAGATTGCTGTATTGCTGTATGATAGATTTATTTCTTGGTTGATTTCTTTCTGTATTCTCAAACCATTATTGCTTCATGGCTGGGCACATTATCTGGCTCAATGTCTTCTGCCAACAACTTGGTGTTTAGCTATGTGGTACTTGTCAGTGCAGCATCAAAATGAATGGCAGGACGCGAGATTTCCCAGCAGAACATTACCCAAACCATCACTGTTCCTTCAGACCACTGAAATCATTTGTAATGTTTAATATTAATATTTTTCTTAACTACTAGCATATTGAGATCATTACTACATGTGGCTGCTGAGAAACATGCATAGGAATAAACTTAAGTATAGCTTAATGAAAGTCCTGAGGAATAAAGCTTTGGGGATTTTGTGAGAAATTGCTTCCATCACTAAGGTCAGTGCTTTTTGCCTTCAATGTCCAAACCATTTTCTTTTCCATTGTCCCCTACCATTTTCCTCTTTAGGAAGCGTTTTTTTATCATTTTTTTCCCACCGCAACCCAGCCATTGGATCAATACCTGGGGACACAGCCCATCCAGTGTGGTAATGACATACTAGAAAGGCAGAGGAGAGAGGGACATTAACAAATGCGCACTCGCACACCCACCCAGACAGCCAGTTTGTTGAGCCATTATACCCCTTCTCAATATCTCGCTGCTTGATAAACACTGGGAAAGATGAAGCATCGTGTGTAGATGAATGCACGTCGCTAGTTGAAGTGTTGATGGCTTCTGTGCTCACACAATGCATTATGCATCATGTTTAATGGAACAAACTGCATTGGCTGATGGATTCCATAAGCAGGGTGATTGGTTCTCTGTATGACTGATATGTTGAAAGTCTTGTTTTTGCCAATAAGTGCATTTTTTGGAAGCATCTGTTAATGGGCTTTGACAGGCTGCTGCTATTCAGTAACTGCTGTATGAAAAATGTCAGATTGATGCTTATTTGGTTGGAAATGACAATAAAATAAACATTGGTAAGAAGAAAAAATGTCTTCAGGATGAGAGGAATGTGATAATTACTGTACATGGTAAAGGTAAAAAGGAGGGAAATATAAAAGCTAGCCATAACTGTTTTGGCCAAACAAGGAAGTTCATATAAACGAAAGTGGAAAAAGAAGTAAAGGGAGATAATAAAAAAGGAAAAGGTGTTATTAAACAAAAGGAAGAGAGGGTATTATTACACCGGTGGAAGACGATGTAAGAAATTATGAAATGTGTCGATGCTTTTTAAAGTTTTCTGTCGTCTTCACTTTTTTCTCCTGACCAGTGATCCTGAGTCCGTTTGGCTTAAATGGGACGCTAACTGGCCAATCATTCAAGATGTCAGATCCTCCCACACAGAAACTGATTGAGGAGTGGAACCAGTTTTATCCCATCAGCCCCCGTGCCAAGGAGGGTGTTTCTGAAGACAAGGCTGAGGACATGGACTGGGAGGATGACTCTCTGGCCTCTGTTGAGGTCCTCGTTGGTCAGTTTTTCTTTTCTTCAGTATAAAACCTTTAGTTTGATCAAATTAAGGTCTTCTTTTTGCGTTTATTTTTTCCAACACCCCCTGTGTTTGGTTTTGTGTAGGTGGTGTGCGAATGATCTACCCAGCCTGCCTGGTCCTGGTACCTCAGTCTGATCTCCCCGTCTTGGCCCCTGTGGGGTCCTCCCACTGCACTGCCGTCTACTCGGGTGGCCACCAAGTGCCTGCTTCCCAGCGAGAGCCTGCCATGTCTTTGGTGACCCTCACCCCTCCCACGTCACCTGAGGAGGCGCACACAGGTAACGGTTCAGTCAAGGTGTAGATCCAGATGTCTGCCATCACAACATTGAGCTGTTGGGTGGAGGTGGGCCAGAGAATCGGACTTTGACGTGTCAAACATACTGTAAATGTTGCTCTTCTCACTCTCTAGTGGACACTCACTCGGCCCAGAAGTGGGTAAAGATCCCTTCATCGTCTGACGCGTTCAGCGTGGACAGAACGAGTCACCACGGAGGAAAGATTCCACGCCGGCTGGCCACTCAGGTGGTGGAGCATGTCTGGCAAGAGTGCAATATCAACCGAGCCCAGAACAAGTAAGTCCGTCTCTGTGGCTTTAAAGTGGCACGGATTGCTGCACTAACATATAAATACAGAAAGTGCTAAAATCTCTATTTTTTCTACATTTATGCTGTAGAAGTATAAAGATAAATATCAAAATCCCTGTACAACGGGTGCTCTTATTTTGTACTGTCTTTTATTATCCAGTCTCAGCAGTTGAAACTTTTTTTTTGTTGTGCACCTAAAAAACCGCTTTAATGCAGATGTCTGTTGCAGATTACTGCATGACAAAAACAGACATTCTGAAAGAGTATTCCTGGGTAAATAAGGGCTGGTATGTAATTATTTTGGAAGTAAACAATACCCGTATATCTGCTTTGACGTGATGCTGGATGTCAGCGTTTTGTTTTATACAAAATGAGCAGGCAAGAGAATTAAACAGCCGCCAGCAGAAGTAGGTGTTACTGCTCGCTGGTGTCGAGCATAACATTGATACGCTCAAATGATCGTTCTCCTCTTGATCAGGAAGGGCTGTTTTGATGAGCTGTCTCAGTTTTTGTTTTTAGATGGTGATGTCGTAAATCAGAGCAGCATTTTTTACACTGTTCTGTTTGAGCAGCTTGTGTTAATCAGTTCTGTGTTGCTCAAACGATTGACTTGTTTATCAACCCTCCTTTTCTGGATGCTAATAACAGTCATAACACCCGCAGCTCCACAGGTAAAACTAAAAAATCGTGCCTGTGTTGTACTCGTTAGGGCAGGGCTAGTCAAGTAAACTGCTCAGGGGGCCACAGTTACTGACACCCAGCAGCTCAGGCATCCAGCAAATAAAAATATGTAAATAAACTAATTGTTACAACGATCTGTTACCTTTTAAATTTGTTAATTTTGTTGCATTGAATTGCAATAAAGAGAAACCCAGAACCCCCAAAATAAGGAATGTATATATTTTTAATGAACTCATTGGTGAGCTGGACTGAAGTCACCAGCGGGCTGGAAGTGGCCCGCAGGCCACCAGTTGAATAACCCTGCGTTAGGGAGTTTACTGCATAAGAATGCATCAGCATCAAAGCACCTTTATTCCTGTTATTCTTCCACTTCATCATGATTTCAAGAATTTTCAAGAATTCAGATTTTTATTTTAATAGAGCTTGTATTTTGTGCAGTGACTGTTTTTCTGAGGCTTACGTTCTAGTCTGTGTTTCTGTCTGACTGTGTTTATTAGAGGAATGTCAGGGAGTGAGAGACAGATGTGTGATGTCTGAGCTGCTGGCAGCAGCGTTGACTTTTGACATGATCTAAGTTCTTCTTTACACGTCTTATACACCAAAACATCAGCATGTTGTCACTTTAGATTATTATAAAAGTACGTCTCAAATTACTTTTGGACTTTAAAAAATAAAACTGATGAATGTTTGAATTTCAGCTGCTTTGGCACATCTCAGGGTTTTTTTCAGAAATTTTCAAGGTCTCATCTGAGACTGAAGAGCAGTATCTGAAGTTTTTTATAGTACCTTTCTGCATACGTCATTTCATTTACTTTCTAGTTTTATAATAGTCTGACAGTTTGATTCCAGCTTATATGGAGACAATGTTGCCAAATAATTAAAATGATATGGTGTGCAGTTTTGTCCTGTGGTTTATTGTATAACTCGACAACAGTGCATCTGACACATTTGGAGCACCCTGGGACGTGTTACCCTTTGACCAAGAACAGAGCGTCAGCTATAGTTAGATTTTGGCTCGTCAGCCAAATATTATTGCTTTAAGGATGTTGATGAAACCAGCCGCACTAAGAGCTCTTACTAAAAGCAACTGTATACCACAGAAAAAGTAGCCACGATTGCACACTTGAAGGGTTCTTTATGCTTTTCCCTGAAGGCACACAAGGAAAGAGGCAGAATTTTACTTCAATATCGTGTTTTTGTTCCCCCTCCCTCTCTAGGCGGAAGTTTTCAGCTGCGACCAATGGTACCTGTGAGGAGGAGGTGACAGAGAAATTAGGAGCTTGGGATTTTGTGGTGCCTTCGCAGAAGTCTTACTGCAGCTGTTCCAGGTCAGTCCCTTACACTGTTGATGTCCCACGTGTGCAGAAATTCCTCCCAGATTTCAAAGAGGTTACACAGAAACGATAAGTCTTTAAACACTGGCAGAGGGAGGTCGCTGTCGGCAAAATACCTGCCGGTTTCATCCAGGTTGAGGCTCTGACGAGCATATTAGTCTTCATATTTTTCTGTTTGTCACTGTTCCATGTAAGGGACAACCATGGAGCGCTGGAACCTCTGCAGAGTTGTCTTCTCTAGGTTTTATTGCCACAATGATGAGAATGATGTCAGAGTAAAACGATGGTTTAGTCTGACTTCTGCTGAGCTGCTGTGATTAGTCTGTGTTGTTTCTAATTTAAACAAAAATGGGTTTGTCTTGCTGTTTACGTAGACTTGTTATTAAAATCTGAACAATTAACATTTACTTGTGGACGTTCTGTGCCATGTGTGTTAATATTCTCTATCCGCCTTATTCCTAGCCCCCATGGTGCCTTTCGTGAATTATGGGTGCGACTTCCGGCGCGGACCAGAACCAGTATTTGTTTTTGTGTGAACAGTCTGAGCTGATGTAGTTTCTCAGAGTATTGTGGATTTAATTTAAACATGTAGGAACACCACCTGTCAGAGCTCAAACAGGACGATATAATCATACCGCTGCCTGCTGAGGACGAGGAGTGGAGGACGAGCTGAAGTGGCTGCAGATCACATCTTCTAGCATATTTAGCTACTTCATTTGGTTCTTCCAACAGTGAAGTGATGAACAACCTGAAAAGCTCTGAGGTGCATCAGTATCTGCACAGTAATAATGTTGTTGGTGTTTGTTAAAAGAGGTGACACAATCTTATTTATCTGAAGGCAGACAGAGCCCAGGCTCGGGTTAATTGTAGAGACTATCATAAAACTGAAGATGAACAAATATTATAAAGCTGTGACCTCCATGCACTTGAAATCAAACCTGATGTTCTCGTCACTGTTTTCAATCCTTCTGAGGATCCGCCGTCTCTTCTCCGGTGGTTTATTGTCATCCAGACACGAAGTAGGATGCAGGTTTTCCTCCGTCGGCCATTTGTCAACAAAGTAAAATGAGCTCACAGTTTTGGGTGGTCTCTTCAAGTTCACATTTTGCAGCCACATTCTTCTTAATTCCTCATCTGTAGGTAGGAGATGAAACTACACCTCTTTTCACAGGAACACTCTTTTTGGTTTTGGGTTCGTGTTCAAAACTCTGTTGTAGCCGCTGATTTAATTTGGGCTGGTTGTTCTGCAGCCGTGAACACAACAGGTACCTGAACTCAGCACGGCTATTTTATTAAACTTTATGGTTGTTAAATAAATGTAAAACAGTGTTTTATCTGCTAAACTGAATGCAAATTACTTTCAAATAAACCGCTGTCCGTGCGCCTCTACCATGGTTAACCGATGTTTACTGCTACTTCCTGTCTGACAGGAAGTTGTGCCCACAATCATTTGTACAGTAGAGCCCCCAGGAACAAGGTGGATATCGTAAATGTCTTGTCCATTCAAACAAATCTTTTTTTGATGCATGACAAAGTTGAACTTGGTAACATGCAACACTTTCAACATGACACTAGTTTAAACTGCTGCGGTCATCTTAGCTGAGGTCTTTCATGTGTTTATCATGACTCTTTGCAGCAGCACTTTTTTATTGTTCTTCTCAACATCTGAGCCAAAAGAACAAAGATTGCTTCAAAACATTTGATCTGAAAACAAGTACTTTGCCCTCTGTTTGATTATATAGTTTAGCTGCCATATTGAAGCCCTTGCGTGTGGTGTTAAACTTTAAAACGAGCATAAATGACCAGGCGGCGTTTCTCTCGAACATCACTAAAAAAAATTATTAAGGCTGCCTCTGCTGCAGGTGAGAGAATCACAGCTTTGTGTTTCATCTTGATGACAATTAAAAGTCATAACTGGGCATTTTCTTGGTTTGCTTTATCATCCATCTCTGCTGGTTGTTGTCTCCTTCTCTGACCACTCTGTAACTTTTTTGTTCACCTTCTTCACTGCAGACACAAATCAGTAAAGCAACGAACAGGCAGCACTCCAGGCCTGACCCAGTCAGCAGGCCAGCCCCCCCAGACTCCAACCAAGCACAAAACTGGAGGAGAAAAGCCTGAAAAAAGTGAAAAGCAACAGAAGAGACCCCAAACCTCTTTCCATCATCGCAGCCTGACCAGTGATGAAACCTCCATCGAGACAGAAGCAACAGTTGGCCAAAGGCTGTCCATAAGGGGTCAGGATGGAGGAAGGTTTCGCTCCACAGATGTCGCTGCCATCTCTAAAGCCCCCCAGCTCCACAGTGGAGCAATCAGCACCAGGCCTGCAGAACAGCCCAACTCCCCACAACCTCCACCACTTAGCCCCCACCCCTGCGAGCGTCCCGAGGAGTCAGGGGAGGGCATTAAGAACCCTTCAACCCCCAACAGCCAACACTTTTATCAGCTACCGTCAGAGCCCTGCCTGGTCGGGGTGAAGGGTGGCAGCGAGGAGCCCGGAGGACCCGAGTGTCTAAATCAGCACTTCCACCCTCACCCTCATTCTGCAACCTCTGCCTACCCTGAGCCTCCTGAGCCCACTGTGTATGTGGGCACAGCCATACACCAGGAGGATGACGGCTCCCACACACCGTGGAGGTTATACAACCTGCCCCGCAGGAAAGACGCTGAGCTGCCCACGCCACTGCTGCCTGGGGACAAGCTGAGAGACGAGGCCTCTGCAGCACAGGACCTGGTGTCAGTCACAGAGTAAGTATCAGCCTCCAAAGATCACAGGCCAGTGCCCTCTCACTCTGAAACACAGGCAGTTTAAGTTTGTAGCCAGCTATCAAGACCATCCCATCATTCTGGTTACATGGTGGTCCTCAGTTCCTCTTACTGATCCATATTTAATAACTGTCATGTTAAATCCACCTTCTTTGCTTCCCATCCATCAGTTTTAGACTGTTTCCATAGCGCTCAGCTGCACGGCGTGTTAATCTCTTGCCACGTGCCCTTTTGACATCATACATGACGAATATGCAGGTCCCGCACCGCTCATTGATTCCTACACACAAACACGCTCCACAGCTCGGAGGGAGGACGAGTAATGACGGGGTTTAGATAAACAGAAACCTCGGTAATTGTAATGGAGTTGCAGCTGATAGAATTTCTGTCTGCTGGCTATCACTTTGGCTTACGAGAGAGAGAGACTCGCCAAGACAGAATTGTTAGCAAGGAAGCATGGGTGGGAAGAGCCGGGGGGGCAGGGGTTTGTTCACCGTGAAGGAAAGCAGAGTGACCAGTAGGATGCAGGGTGGATGAATTGTGGGATTATTGTATCTGTGGGGTTATGCAATCCCAAGGGGCCAGCCACTAGGCCAGTTTTTTCTAGTGAGCTGTAATCCTTCTAGCCCCAGCTCTGAATGGCTGCTAATCTCTTCCCGAGCCGCTGCACACCACCTCGCATCAGAGCTGGACACGCAGGTGGAGAGGAGAGGTGCAGTGAAACGTTGGAGGCAGGGAAGGGGAGGAATGACGCATAAGACGGGTCAGTCCCTGCTCTCCTGCCAGATGACCTCTTTATTTATTTTGTTCCCTCCCCCATCCTCTCCCTGGTTGGCAAGTAGGCCACGGTCTCAGCTCCATAAGGGATTATAAAGTGACTCCTCAGCAACAGGTGGGAACTGTATGAACAAGTATTGCTGGAGTCATCTGGTTTTCTAAAATCTAGCAGAAATATAATTGTCTGACAGCAAACGAGATGCATTGGTTCTGCCTGGCGACAGCTGTCAGAACCATTTACAGCCACTGACATTTGTGTTACTGCAGATAAACATGGCAGCAGCACTGACATATGTTAGGAGTGCCATCTGTCTACACAGATCAGTTATAAAATGTTACTTTTCTTGCATTTTCTTATTAACGGATTAAACTGACATTTGTAATGGTCTTGTTATCGCCGAGCGCTTGGAGTTCACGTGGATAATGAATCCCTGTGTGAGTGCTGATGTATAATATACCTGTATTGTTTCCCCAGGCTGATGTCGTCATCTAAAGGGCCACTAAAGGTGTCTGAGGGGCGTGTTCAAATGTATAGAGCCAGGAGGAACCAGTACCTGTCTGCTGTTGTAACCGATGGAGATCATGAGCCTGAAGTGGACCCCTATGACTTTGAGGATGGAGAGGTCAAGTTCACGTTCTCCAGTAAAAAGGATAAAGCCGGAGGAGAGCGCGAGCCCGGCAAGAAACATAAGGTATGATAACTGGAGGAGTGGAAAAGGTTCATCAGCTCATCTGAACCGCGTTGTGTTGGAAGCTGTAGAGGATTTTGCCTCTCACTAAAAATTGTGAACAGGAAGAGGCTGGGTGCAATGTATGGCTTTAACAACTCTGTTCTGTTCCATATGTCAACAGTACTTTTACTAAAAGACATATAAGCTATAAATAATTGTTTCTAACAAACTGCAGCACATCTCTGTATTGCAGGGCTTATTTTTCACAACCCTTAGAATTTAATTACGCTGCCTGGCCAAAACAAAAGTCTACACCTGGATTTAACTAAACAAACAGGTCCGAGCCTCCTGTTGGATCATTACTGCATGAGTGATCATCTTTCAGCTGCAACAAGTTATTTAACCCCAACTGGTGCAGTGAGCTGCTTCTTATTTCTTAAACTACCATGTCTAAAGACGCATGACGTGGTCGTGGAAAAGACGTCAGTCTGTTTGAGAAGGGTCAAATCATCGGCATCAAGCAGAGAAAACATCTAAGGAGATTGTAGAAACTACTGAAACTGGATTAAGAACTGTCCAACACTTTATTAAAAACTGGAAGGACAGTGGGGACCCATCGTCTTCAAGGAAGAAATGTGGCCGGAAAAAAATCCTGAATGATCGTGATCAGCGATCATTTAAATGTTTGGTGAAATCAAATAGAAGAAAAACAACATTATCACTCAGGGCTGTTTAATAGTGAAAGTAGGAACATTTCCACACACACAGTGTGAAGAAACCCAAGGGACTGGGACTGAACAGCTGTGAAGCCTTAAAAAAAACACTAATCAGTGAGGCTGACTGGGAAAAAAAGGCTTCAATTTGCTAGGGAGCATAAAGATCGGACTCTGGAGCAATGGAAGAAGGTCATGTGGTCTGATGAGTCCAGATTTACTCTGTTCCAGAGTGATGGGTGTATCAGGGTAAGAGGAGAGGCAGGTGAAGTGATGCACCCATCATGACTAGTGCCTGGTCATCAATGAAAGATCTTGGTGAAACATTAATGCAACACTGGATGAAACAGATCTTGTGACGTTGTAGAAGCTTATTGAAACAATGACACCGTGGATGCATGATGTAATCAAAGCTAAAGGAGGTCCAACAAAATATTAGTGTGTGACCTTTGTTTTTGGCCAGGCAGTGAATCTTCTGCAGTGAAGAACAACTTGAAAGTGCACTAATAGATGTGTTGGACTTGATTTTTTATTTTTCTGCCTTAACATCAGCTGCTGTCGGTCCCTCCAGCACTCAGTGTATGGCTTCATTATGAGATGTTTGAGCAGTGGCAGCACAGTGGAGTGAAGGTCTTTGTGATGGGAGCTGTTATAGAAAGTACCCTCACCTGCTTCACTGGCTTTTATTAAACAAAATGATTTTTACTGTAGATCTTGATGAACTTTTTGTCTCGGCAACGTTTTCAGTCATCCCAACAGTTTGACAATTTATTACTTTTGTTATTTTAGATTCCCTACTTACTTTTTGTTCACTAATTCACACATCAGCAACTGTATTTGTTTCCCCCCTTTTAAAATGTAACAAACGTATAATTGCATTTGTTTTGAAAGGGGATGAGGACGAGGGGGCTTCTCTTTTAACATCTGATCTCAGACAATATGGAAACTAGGCCATCAACATCCTCAGCAACGCTGCACTAAAAATAACAGTGTAACCACTTTCTACACACATCCTCTGACTCGCCAAGCATCAAGTGAACAGGAAGCCATTCCTGAATCACTATTGTTGTTTTTGCCCAAAGGAACGGTGGATAGTTAACATGTTCATCTTCCTTTAAGTTATGTTTCCTTATTTGATCAGCCCTTTTCCTCCTCTTGGCTGTGTTGCTGCTGGCTCCTAAACCCCCTGCCTTTTAAATCGTCTGCAGCAAGATTTCAGAAAGATGCAAACCTGGCTCAGCGGACAATAAAAAGCACATTCAAATACTTTCCTCCTCCTCGGTCTGGTGCATACCACCGCACGCCCTCGATCTGTGTCTCACTGTAAGGTTGAAGGCAGCTGTCAGTGGAGTGAAGAGTCCCAAAGAACCGTCTGTGCAGTGGAGCTCTTCCACCGCCTGTCTGCTCTGTATGTGTGTGTGTGTGTGTGTGTGTGTGTGTCCTTCACATACCTGTGGGTGTCTGTGCAAACACATGGAGCTTCTTTCCTTCCAGATTTTAACTAAACTTGTAATTCTCACTAAAAGTGCTGCAGCTCATCTCCTTGCTCATGCCTCACCTCACACTTGGCTGACGTGCAGCCTTCCATCATGAATCAGTGCACTGTATCAAAAATAATGACGTCATTATTTTCAGCCACTTTATCCTATTTGTTGAATGGACTTGAAGCACAGAATTCATCCCACCACCATAGCTCATTAGGAATTAAACACCTTCATGTGAATCATGCAGGAACATCAATCTGACATCAAGCAATCGTTTAAACGTCACTGCTGGCCAGGTGATATACAGTGCCTTGTGAAAGTATTGGGCCCCCTTGAACTTTTCAACCTTTTGCCACATTTCAGGCTTCAAACATAAAAGATATAAAATTTTAATTTTTTGTGAAGAATCAACAACAAGTGGGACACAATCGTGAAGTGGAATGAAATTTATTGGATGTATCAAACTTTTTTAACAAATAAAAAACTGAAAAGTGGGGCGTGCAATATTATTGGGCCCCTTGCGTTAATACTTTGTAGCTCCGCCTCTTGCTGCAGTTCCAGCTGCAGTTCCAGCTGCAAGTCTCTTGGGGTTTGTCTCTGTCAGTTTTGAACATGGAGACACTGAAGTTCTGCCCATTCTTCCTGCAGAACAGCTGGAGCTCAGTGAGGTTGGATGGAGAGCGTTTGTGAACAGCAGTCTTCAGCTCTTTCCACAGATTCTCGATTGGATTCAGGTCTGGACTTTGACTTGGCCATTCCAACACCTGGATACGTTTATTTGTGAACCATTCCATTGTAGATGTATCTTTATGTTTTGGATCATTGTCTTGTTGGAAGATAAATCTCCGTCCCAGTCTCAGGTCTCTTGCAGACTCAAACTGGTTTTCTTCCAGAATGGTCCTGTATTTGGCCCCATCCATCTTCCATCAATTCTGACCATCTTCCCTGTCCCTGCTGATGAAAAGCAGGCCCAAACCATGATGCTGCCACCACCATGTTTGACAGTGGGGATGGTGTGTTCAGGGTGATGAGCTGTGTTGCTTTTACACCAAACATATCGTTTTCCATTGTGTCCAAACAGTTGGATTCTGGTTTCATGTGACCAGAGCACCTTCTTCCACATGTTTGGTGTCTCCCAGGTGACAAACTTTAAACAACACTTTTTATGGAGATCTTTGAGAAATGTCTTTCTTCTTGCCACTCTTCCATAAAGGCCAGATTTGTGCAGTGCATGACTGATTGTTGTCCTATGGACAGACTCTCCCACCTCAGCTGTAGATCTCTGCAGTTCATCCAGAGTGATCATGGGCCTCTTGGCTGCATCTCTGATCAGTCTTCTCCTTGTTCCAGATGAAAGTTTAGAGCGACGGCCGGGTCTTGGTAGATTTGCAGTGGTCTGATACTCCTTCCATTTCAATATGATTGCTTGCACAGTGCTCCTTGGGATGTTTAAAGCTTGGGAAATCTTTTTGTATCCAAATCCAGCTTTAAACTTCTCCACAACAGTATCTCGGACCTGCCTGGTGTGTTCCTTGGTCTTCATGATGCTCTCTGCGCTTTGACCAGAACCCTGAGACTCTCACAGAGCAGGTGCATTTATACTGAGACTTGATTACACACAGGTGGATTCTATTGATCATCATCAGTCATTTGGGACAACATTGGATCATTCATAGATCCTCACTGAACTTCTGGACTGAGTTTGCTGCTCTGAAAGTAAAGGGGCCCAATAATATTGCACGCCCCACTTTTCAGTTTTTTATTTGTTAAAAAAGTTTGACACATCCAATAAATTTCATTCCACTTCACGATTGTGTCCCACTTGTTGTTGATTCTTCACAAAAAAATAAATTTTATATCTTTTATGTTTGAAGCCTGAAATGTGGCAAAAGGTTGAAAAGTTCAAGGGGGTTGAATACTTTCACAAAGCTCTGTACTGTAACAGACCCATCAGTGTGGAAGTGGTGCACTTGCTGTGTTAGGAAGATGGCACAAGCGTGGAAGCAGCTTTTAAGTAAATCTGGGAACAAAATAAGAGATCAGATAGGTTCAATCACACAAGCTTTTGCAGTATGTAAAGAGACCACACAGGCGTGTCCAAGGCTAAGATATTGATAAGGGGTTAAGACATTATAGCTGCCTATAGATTGTGGCCTTGGTGTGGATGTTGGGCCTTTAAGGAAGACAAATTAAAGCTTGCACTGGTCAGAGAATAGCCCTGGAGCATAATGAAATCAATGGCAAGGACATAACGGCCCTGTTCCCCAGCTCGTTCTGCTCTGCACACAGTGTACACACACAAGGCATCGTAAGAATACACACGTGCACAGGAGGCCAGCCCTCCCAGATATTGATGTCTGGGCAGGAGGCTGAGCAGCCATTCCTTGGATCATGATTTCACTCTGTTGCCCCAGCAGAGAGAGCCCGTCCCTCTCCCCTGTTCTGTTTCAGACCAATTTTCTCTCTTGCTGCTCTCTTAACTTTTATTTATTTATTATTTTTCTTTGTTGCATTGATTGGAAAAAGGCGATGTGTTTAGTTGGCTGGTGACAGTATTTACAGATGTTTTACCACCGCTGTTTGTTGACTGCCTTTATTTGCCTTCTGTTTTTTTCAAGCTATCCAGTTCATTTCTGTAATTTCTCAGTCACCATGGTCGAAAGGCTTGTTCATGTTTTAACCTGTTAGTCCAACACGGTTAGCTCAGCCTCTGGTAGCTCAGCCTCTGGCTCAATGTGGTGTTCGGACCGTAAACTGAGAAAACTGTTTCAATTCAGACAGTTCTTCTAGTTTTATGTGCATTTGTGGTCATTTTTTATTTCTCTTTGTCTTAACTCATGTTTTTTTCACTCAGGGGGAAGATGGAGACACTGGTCTCTCTGATGGTAAGAATTATTTCCTAATTCTTCTTTAATAAAAATAAAATTCAAGCCAGTTTAGCACCTGAATTCTCAGTGTCTGTTAACCCTACATTTTTTTCATTTCTATCATTGTCATGCTAATGATAGATTTCAGAAAGTCCTGACTGATTATAAAAGTGACGAGCGGACTTCTTTTAACTTCCTAAATCACAAGCGATGAGGCCGTGCTTAGATCCCTCCATATTAAATGCAGCCAATCCCAGTAATAAGTTAATTCACAGTCTTGCTGTAATATCCCAACCACTTGCAGAGTATAGATCCAGCACTGTTTTGTCCAGAAACGCGTCACTCATCTTTTAATTTTCCGTTGCTGAACGCTCACAAACCTTTAATGAGCGGTTTCCTCACTTCTGAAACATAAACAAAGTTCCCACTGAAGAGTTTTCTGGGGGGGACTCGAGCTTTTCAAGGACATTGGAAAAACTAAACTCAGTAAATTAGATGCAGACTCAAAAAATGGTTGTTAAAATGTATTCTCAATATTAGCAATATAGTCCATCCATCCATTATCTTTAACCGCTTTTTCACATTTCTTTGAAAATTAACAAGATAACCACCTAAAAACAATTGTTTGCTCGAGATTATAGCAAAGATGAAGGTGGCAGTATATGGCAAGCCGATTATGTCATTAATAGCCACTTTTACCTATTACATGACTCAACGGCATGCCATACTACAGGAGTACCATCTAGCAGCTGAAAACGGTAGTGTTCAATATTTTCAGTCAGAATGAATGAAAACAGTCATATCTCGTGTTGGTTTATAAATATGGGAAAAAACATAAATAAGTCGCGTTTAGGCAATTAAATTAGGCAACAAAAACACGACTTATAGGCCGAAAAATACGGTATTCACATAGGAGAACTTGTAATGTTTCATCCACACTCAATATCAGCCAGTCCTACATTTGCTATGCATCATCTGCATCCCAGTTAGGTGTTGAGTGTTTCCACTACAGCCTAAGAGATGGTGGTAATGTGTGGGTTTGTCAGCTCTCTGTTCAGAAGACACCAAGGAGACTTCAATTGATCACTCTCCAGGAGTTTGAGGCAGTTTTTGCGTCCTTGTGATCACAGAGTGATAAATTATCCAAGTGTGGATAAACAGCTAAATGTTCTCTCATTATTTTCTTGAACTAATGTATCCATGTTTTGTTTTTTCGTGTTTGTAGTGTTTCGTGTTTGCTCGGTTTGTGGTGCTTCCCATTTTAAATTGAAGGGAGGTTGTTGATTTTTTTTTTGGCTGCAATAAAAAATAGAATTAAGAAGGAAGTCATCCTTGAATGTAGAAGTGAACTCTTGGTTTGTGAAAATGACTCAACAAAGTTCAAGCCTTTTTTGATTTTAATTGATTAGATTTGTATTCCTTTTGAAATGTATGCGCTTGTGTTTGTGCGCGTGCAGAATCTCAGCGTGCGGCTGCAAACAACCGCATGACCTCCACCAGCCTGATGCACGAGACGGATCTGGTGGTTTCCATCAACGACCTGGAACACCTTTTCAACTCAGACGAGGATGAGGTAAGCGGAGACCTTGGAGCACGCCACAGTGGATATCTCGTTACAGAGTGTAGTCTGGCTGGTGTGTGTTTGTGTGTGCGAGGGTGCGTTTCCACCCACTGCGCACCTGAGCAGTGTCTGCGCTCTGCCCTTCATCAGCTGACAACACTCGCCTTTCACTGCTATTAATCTAAACTGATGCCATGTGTGATACTCGCTGCTCCTACAGGTTGGAAACATAACGTGAGTGAATTTAGAGGCGTGGTAACTGATACCAGGAGTGCGCTCCGGTAAAAAAGGTGTCCTTTTTGTCTGCAGAACGGCCCCAGACGACAAGCGAACGGAACTGATGAGAACTCGAGCTACAAGGAACAAAAGCCATCCATTTTGGACCCAGTGTCTTGCATTGGTATGGATCCGTTCACCTCTGTTCTGATGCAAAGAGACAAATACGGGATTTTGATGTATGCACTGTGTGGGATGTGTTAAGTTTGTAGGAATAAAGAGTTTGTTTGCAAACATCCTTAAGACAACTAAGAGGAGACTGTAAGAAACATCACACTATAAGTTCATCAAAAATCATGAAACTTAAACTGAGATTGTGTAAAATCCATTAAGAGTATTAGACTTCTTACCTGTTTAAACTCTAATAATGTTTCTGTTATGAAGTCTGCCTGAGTTATAGATCTCTACAGATGGCTGGGTTTACTCACTCATTTTGACAAATCTCATTTTTACAGCACAATTCTTCAGCTTTTTGCTATTTTGATCTACATCGCTTGATGTGTACCGCCACTAAAAGTCACAGTGCACTGGTCCTGAGAGAACCTCGTGTTCTTGTGTATTGTATTGTTTTATTCAAAGCTGCAGGAGGGACCATGAATCTCAAATTGTAACTGAAACGGGAGAATTAACGGATGAAAAGAAACAAGTGTTGTACACAGATGACGCATTCTTAATTAGGGTGTCTTTACATAGTGGTGCACTCAGCAGTAAAGCCCTGTGTAGATAATAATTAGTATTATGTAATGATCAATTATTTTCAGTTTATTGCAGAAGTGATTTAATTCATTGTAGTAATCAGTTCAGGATTTCTGTCTGCTGAACAAATGAGACAGAGGGGAGCAGCCTTACAGTTTGGTGAAAATGTTAATGTAATCATGTTAAAAAGTAGCAGCTGTAAAGGATTCTCCACTACTGTCCAAATCTTGGATAATGTCCTTTCAAATACCACAGTCATTGTCGTGGTTCTTGTTGCTTTCGACTGCTGGACTTGCAGATGATTTTGCAGCACGCTGCTGGATGTCACAAACCCATAAACCAACTTAATAGTTGGGTTGAGAGATGAACGACCTCGGCTTCTTTAGAAAATTGACTGTATTGTCGTGGATATTGGTGCTTTTGGTCCAGGACAGTTTATTGTCGGTCATTTTAGTCATTGATCATCTCGACGTCAAACCTCTCCAGTGGAATCAAGGATCACTGGTTACATGGACGGACAAGTTCCTTTGTCTTTGGAACGCTGAGCTGTGATACTCAGTGTGTCGGTAACAAATCCTCGTTACTCATTAGCTTTAAGGTCATGTGCAGTAATCTGGATTAAAAAAAAAAAAACTTTTAAGGTCACTGTACAGCTGAAACCAGAAGTTTACATACACATATTTTTTCACACTGTCTGACGTGAAATCAGAATAAACTTTTAGGTCAGTTAGGATACCAACATTTTTTCTATTTGCAGCATGCCAGAATAATAAGAGAGGATTTTTAAGGCAGTTTTTATTACTTTCTTCAAAGTCAAAAGTTTAAATACACTTCATTAGTATTTGGTACCATCGTCCTTAAACTGTATGACTTGGATCAAACGTTCTGGATCTCCTTCCACAAGCTTCTCACAGTAGTTGGCAGGAATTTGGGCCCATTACTCCAGACAGAACTGGTGGAACTGGGCCATGTTTGTAGGCTGCCTTGCTCGCACATGCCTTGTCTGCTTTGCCCATGATGGTGATGGCCACTCCAAGACGTTGACTTTGTCCTTGAGCCACTCTGTAACCAGTTGGACAGCATGCTTCAGCTCATTGTCCATTAGGAAGAACCAAGCTTTAACTTCCTGGATGAAGTCTTGAGATGTTCAGTATTTCCACATAATGTTCGTTCCTCGTGATTCCATCTGTTTTGTGAACTGCACCAGTCCCTCCTGCAGCAAAACAACCCCACAACATAATGCTGCCACCTCCGTGTTTCACAGTCAGGATGGTGTTCTCAGACTTTTTCCTCCAAACGCAACGATGGTCATTATGGACAAACAGTTCAGTTTTAGTTTTGTCAGACCACAGGACGTGTGTCCACAAATTAAGGTCTTTGTCCCTGTGTGCATTTTTATGTTTCTTTTGAAGTAATGGCTTCTTCCTGTCGGAGTGGCCGTTCAGTCCATGTCGATACGGTTTCACTGTGATAATGACTCTTACCAGCTTCAGCCAGCATCTTCACCAGCTCTTTTGCTTTTGTTCTTGGGTTGATCTGCACATTTCGGACCAAAGCACGTTCATCTCTGGGACACAGAACCCGTCTCCTTCCTGAGCGGTACGATGGCTGGACATTCCCATCTTGTTTGTACTTGCGTGTAATTGTTTGTACAGATGAACGAGGCACCTTCGGGCATCTGGAAATTGCACCCAAGGATGAACCAGACTTGTGCAAGTCCACAATTCTCTTCCTGATGTGTTGGCTGGTTTCTTTTGACTTCCCCATGATGTTACACAAGGAAGCAGTTTCAGGTGTTCCTTAAATGACATCCACAGGTGTCTCTAATTAACTCCGATGTTATCAATAAACCGATCAGAAGCTTCCAAAGACATGACATCAAATGTTCCAAATGATCTTAGTGTATTTAAACTTTTGACTTTGAAGAAAGGAATAAAAATTACATTAAAAAATTCTGACTCTCATTATTCTGGCAATTTGCAGATAGAAAAAATGTTGGTAATCCTAACTGACCTAAAACAGGAAAAGTTTATTCTGATTTCACGTCAGACGGCGTGAAAAAATACATACGTCTTTTTAAATAGTGTATGTAAACTTCTGGTTTCAATTGTTTGTTTTACTGGCAAAAAAATGAGCATTGTCTGAAAGTTGTATAAACATGTAGGTTCTGCCCTAATATTGTGTGTATAGTCTTCCTAAATACATCGATAAATAATTGATAATGTTATTAACTGACTTTTTATATACGGGTATGTGAATGTTTCTGTTCACTGCCCTGAGATGACTTCTGATGGGACTTGCCACTATATAAATAAATTGAATTGTTTAATTACATGGTTTATCATCTCTTACACGTTTTCCTTTGAGCTTTGCATCAGGAAATTTGTCTTAGTGTAGATAAAAGCACATGCATATAGGGAACTCCTGCTTTTATCCTCCTTTCAAGATCAGAAAAACTCAGTCTGTAAATAAAGAAAGAAAGAAAGAAGAAGAAGAACCCTTTGAGAAAATGCCAAGATAACTGCAACTATCGATGTAAATGTTCCTTCAGTTGGTCGCCTGTCAGACGTGCATCTCCATTAGCTTGTAATCGCAGCGCACTCGTCATGTTTTCCTGCAGAAACAGTAGCAAACGTTTCCACAAAATGACATTTAAACCACATTGTTAAATCGTTTGTGTCTCAGGCTGCTTGTTGGACAATTAAAATAGAGGAAACTAAATGTTTGCTTTAGCTTTGGTATCAGTAACGATGTAAGTTTAATGATAATGACTTGGGTGCTCTGGCCTCATGCATTTCCTCAAACGCGTCACGATGCACGTCTGACACGCACTGATAGCCTCTTGTTGTTTTCCTTCCTCTAGGTTCAGACTGGCCTCATATGTTTCCCACGCCCCCCTCCCTGGAGCAGCACACCATGGGCTACTCACCCATGAACATGTGCAGCAAGGAGTACAGCAGCATGGAGTCCAACCTGGGCATGACCTCCCTGGACGGCACCTCAACTCTGGGAGGCGACTTCAAGATCGAAGTGGAGGAGAGCTTCTGCAGCCCCAAGCCATCTGAGATCAAGGTGGGTCTGGGCTCGGTCGGTCCTGTTCGTGTTTATGTCCAAGCAGCTGAGACGGCTGACATCAATGTGGTGTCAAATTGAAATACGGAGCGTGAGTTTAATGCCAGAGTCGGTGTCATATGAAGTGAACGATGAGCTTATTTTGAGGCGATCAAGAGGCCGAATGTCCAGAACTGCCCTGTAGATCAGGAATTTTGTTAAATTTCAGTCACAAGACATTTCCGCTCAGATCAAGGTGTCGCAACAAAGACTGCTCAGACTTCTTCTGAAGTCGAGAGCAACGCTTGACATGTTACGAGCTTTTTATATGGATATCATTAATGTAGTTAAAAGCCCAACATTTTTACTGATATAAACAATGTGTATTTTTCAGACCTCGTTCTGTTTTTAAAGGGCAGAACTGAAAGTAGTTTTTCCACAATATACGTTGTTTTTAATTCTTTGCTTTGCTTCTCTTCTGCAGGATTATTCTTTTGTGTTCAAGCCAGAGCTGTGTCAGGCGTTTGTAGGCTGCTCCATGTTTGCCCCTCTGAAGACGCTGCCCAGCCAGTGTCTCCCGCCCGTCAAAGTACCAGAGGAGTGCGTGTACCGGCCCATCTGGACCGTGGGCAGGGAGCTGGGGAACCCAGTGCCTGTGATGAACTTCCTCAGCAAAGACAGGTATGCAGCTGGAGATGCATTTTCTTCCAGGGTAGCCGTCTTATTTCTTAAATTTCTCCTCTGCCTTTTTGTGAAAGTCTCCACTCTGCCTGGCTGTTGAACGTTCTCTTTTCTGTCTACACAACAACTGTTCTCTCCCTTGACGCCACCTTAGCAGGCAGCTTGATTTCCCATGCATGACTGCCTGAGGCAAAGCAGGGAAATGAGTTGAAAATACCTTCTTGGTTGAGGATTATCACTCGGCAGCTCCATGCCGCCTGGCTTCTCACAGCAGATCGGTGTCTTTAGTATACCTGCCACTGCTCCCCTTAGTTGTTGCTGTTTCCCATTCAAAGAGAAGTTCTCATTTTTCTTTGTAGAAATACAGTAGTCCCTCACTACTTCGCGGTTCGTTTTTCGTGGACTTGCTCTATCGTGGTTTTTCAAAATAAGACTGGACATGACTCACTGATTGATGGATGAGACGCACGATCGGCTTGGATTTTTATTTAAAATAAATTATTTAAAATTATGTTGCTCCTGCTGCACATTTGTGCAGCCCATACTGCAGGATAAACTTCCTGCTGCAGCTGATCAGCTGTTCCCTGTGCAGAGCGGAGAAGTGGGCGTGGCCAAGAGCGATTGCAGGTGGCAAAGAGCAGAGGAGGCAGGGAGCTGAAATCATGACATGCTGTGCTCTTTTACAGCATTTAGAGTTTAGAAACATTGTTTAGAATACTGCAAGAGTGTGAGAAGGGTTTAAAACGCCTTTATATATATATATATATATATATATATATATATATATATATATAT